GATCTCCCAATATCTAGCCACTGTGAGAACAACTTATGCACTAGCAGCACCAGGTAATCATCAGCATGTTTCTACCCAAGTTGTATTCTTCCACAAAAACATAAGGAAACAGCTTCTGTCCAGTGGTTCTGCTATCCCTTCCCCATCCTGTTCCCTTTGGAAGTATCCTTCAGAGCAAGAACATAATGCTGTTCTTCCAGCCTCTTCTCACTGTCACAACTATCACAAGATCCACACAGCACCCTAGAATTGTGACCCACATGCCACTGATGTAGCCATGAGAAACATGCAGAGACCACTGCTGGAAAGAAGCGGATTACCTAATTAAGGCAGGCAAACCACTGGCTGCCTTTACCAATCCAGTCTTCACCAGCAGCAACTGCTCTGCCCACAGGCAAAGCTGTGGGACTCTTGAAAATAAGAATCTACCTGAGTTTGAAATTTAAGCTTAAAAACAACTCAGGATTCCTTCTCTGAAGGCCCACCCAGCTCCGCGGCACCAGCAACGGCATCGGTCCTCTTAGAACTCAGTACAGCCATAGACATCAGAGCCCACGCCAGCAAGGTGCCATTTCTAATCAAGAAACACACCCCGGACACAGTTCCTGGGGCATGGCAGTGAACAAAACATAGGAGCATATGTTTTAGAAGTGCTTTGAGCAGATGAGAAGCAAGGAAACAAGAAGACAGTAACAGTCAGTGCTGTCTGTGAAGTAATCATCAGGGCAACATGACAGTGGCTTTCAGCGGGGAGTGCGGGGGTTGTTTAGGATTGAGACAGGTTTCTCCTGCAAGGAGAAGGCACTGGAACAGAAGCCAGAGCCCCAAGACTCTAGAGAGGATGCAAGAGCAGATACAGCATAGGGATAGTGAGAAAGTACCACAGGACAAACAGACGAGCCACAGAAATCTGGTCACTCAGGCCTTGGTAAGTGACAAGAAGGAACTTAGATTGCCATCTACATGCTTTTAGAAAAAAAGCCTGAGCTGGGTGGCCTATGACGTTCTCTAAACTGCCTCAGACTTCACCTCATTCACTGTCACTGACCTTTCAGGTTTCTGTTACCCTAAATCTATCCCTGAGAGTGAGGACTGGGTGGTGGCATGTTTTTCTCTCATTCACCGTGCCCAGCATGCCATCATACACCAGGAAGCGCACACACACACACACACACACACCCTTATATATTGCCCATCTATGCAGATGGCTTAAAGATCCTATATTGAAAAACAACTGGCCAAAAGAACCATATTTATGTAATATAAAAACTGCCAAAAGAACCACTTTTTTGTAATCTAATTGTAGCTATTTAGAATATAATAGGGAAATAAAACACTAAGAATTAAAAGCTTGCTTGACAGAAACACATGTTTATCTATCAGTAAAACAAATTTGGCTGTGTTCTTCCCTATCCACATAAAAGCAAGCTAAGTAGCTGTCTGTTCTGAAAGGAAGTCCCTCTTACTAAAAGGGAAAAAGGCAGAGAGAGGCCATAAGTGGAGGCCAGCACTACAGTAATCAAGATCCCTCCGGTGCCAGCTCACTGCCACCTACTGGACAGCCAGAGGACAGAGACCTGTGCAAATTTCTAGAATGAAAAAGTGTCTGAAATTGGACAACTTAAGCACTTGAACAGAAAACTCCTGTAGGATTCGGAAATAGCTGAGAGTCTTTTTTAATCTTGTGAGTTAAGATATCCTGTTAGAAGTGTTAAAAATGTCATTTTGGGGTGGTTTGGTTTTTCTTGTGTATGTTTTCGGTGTACATGATGTTCTGATATATATAGTGAACTGACTACAGTCAAGCAAATCACATTTCCATCACCTTACATGGCTACATTTTCTTTGTGTGGTGACAGTACCTACAAACTACTTTCTTAGCAATGTCCACTATACAGTGTGATAGTAACTGCAGTCCTCAAGTTATGCATTACACCTCTAAACTAATTCATCCTAGATAACCATCTTTGTACCCTTTAACTTAAATGAGAAAAAAAAGAGAGTCATCTATGAAAGATGGCTGAGGATCCCAAAGGCATAATGTATTACTCTCCCATTTCCAGAAAAACATTCAGAATGAAAAAAGACTTGAATAAAATTTTCTTGAAACAAGAGTTAAAGCAGAATAATAAATCAGGACTATATAATAATAATCAAACAAGCCAGAAGGAGCAGAAAAGGCAGAAGGGAAACCCAGAGAGATTGGAGTCCAGGAAAATGATACATCAGCAGCTTCCAGAAGGGGGTGGGCAAGAGTGGCTACTAGGGCGAGAGGGGGCACCTAGAAACGGGTCATGAAACAAATCAGCCTGCAGGAGGTGACTACGGACCTTGGCGAGTGCCTTCACAAGTGAGAGGCCTCTGGGGGCTGAGAAGAAGGAAGGAAATGGACATACTTGAGTTTATTTAAAACCCAGTGAGGGAATGATGATATGGCTCAGTGACAGCACTTCCCTAGCATGCATGACACCCTGAGTTCAACCTCCTACACTGAAAAAAAAAACACCAATGGGAACAAGATAGATGAGTGAAAGAGAAATACATATTTGTCCAAGAGAGGACAGAGGGCCTATGTGAGGCTACTGAAAAGGCAGGAGCTCAGGCCAAGTCTGGCTCCACGGAGCGTGACTCCTACAGTCACATAAGACCACATATTCGCAAGTGGTTTAATGCTCTGAGGTCACCATCTTAAATTCGTTTTTCTTTTTTTTTAATCACATGGTCTTATTTCTCAGAGACATCACATAGTTTAGAAAACACAATTAAAGAATCTCTAGGGGATGGGTATGGTGGTTCATGCCAGCTACTTGGGAGGTGGAGATAGGAGGATCAAGATTTGAGGCCAGCCTAGGCAAAAGTTAGGGAGATCCTATCTCAAAAACAAGCCAATGAACTGAGGGTATGGCTCAAGTGGTAGAGCACTTGCCTAGCAAATGCAAGACCCTGAGTTCAAACTCCAGTACTACCAAAAGAAGTAAGAATCACAAACCAGGCATGGTGGCATACTCCTATAATCCCAGCTACTCGGAAGGCAGAGGTAGGAGGATCAAGGTCCAAGGAAGGCTGCAACAAAAATGTAAAACCCTAAAAGCAAAAAGTACAGAGGACATGGCTCAAATGTTATAGCACTTACCTAGCAAGTATGAGGCCCTGAGTTAAGCCCCAGTACCATCAAAAAAGAAAAAAAAGAATCTCTAGGTCCCAAGAGGAACATCAGCATGAAAGGCAAAGCAGAGGTCGCCGCATGGGTCAAGTGCTCTAAAATAAACTGCCCTGAACTTCTAAGTAGACTTTGAACAAGGGAGCCCTCATTTCCATGTTGTACTAGTCCTGACCCAGGCAAGGGGCTGGCCTCAGTCCAGAATAAAAAGCTCCACTGCTACAATGGGAGGAGGAGAGAGAGAAGCAGGGCTAAAGCCATCCACTGACTTCTTTCTCTTCAAAGCAGAAAGAAAACTGTCTGTCATAACAAGCAAGAAGACAGACAGGGGGAAAGAGCAAAATGTCACACAGGATAGAGAAATCAGACAGACTCCACCTTAACCAGGTGATGTAATAAGACAAGTCAATATCACATATCTCCTGAGATGATTCACTAAGAAGGACATAAGATCACCTTTGTGCTATTTGATATTCTTGCCAAAATGCATAACCTCAGTGTAATCATAGAAAACCCAAATTGAGAAAGTACACAAAATAGAAGACTCTGAAGTGTCAAGGTCACGAAACAAACACAAGGAACTGTCACAGACTGGAGAAGACAAAGGAGAAATGACAATTAATTGCCATGTGGAATCTTCCAATTACCTAAAACACAAGAACACCTTGTGAAGTTGAGCATGGTGGCACATGCCTATAGTCCCAGCATTTGGGAGGCCTAGATGGGAGGATCACTTGAGCCCAGGAATTACACAACAGCCTGGGCAACATAGGCTCATAATGTAGTTAATGGTACCATATCAGGTTAATTACAGTGTCTTAGTCACTGTACTATGATTATGTAAGACATTAAAAGTAGGGGAAACTAGGTAAATCTGTTTATTTTTTCAACTTTTCTGTAAGTCTCAAATTATTACAAAACAAAAAAGCTTACATTTTCATGTGGATTTTTCATTTGCAATTTTTAATGTCATCAATAATTCCAAGACACTCAATTCCAAGTAATTCCAAGACTCCTTTTAAGTCTAGCATTATTGTGTCATACATGTTCCCACTTCTCTATCAAAACAAAGTGTCTGTAACAGAAAAGAAAGGTTCTGCTCTCCTTTTAAAAAAAAAAGTATATATTATATATACATATATATATGTATTCTCAGCTTTGTACCAGTCATACAGTCGCAGCTTTCTATCATACATCCCCCACACTTCATTATTCCACTTCAAGACATCCTGGCAAGGGAGGGAAGCAAGGAAAGGAAGAACAGAAGGATCCTTCGATTCCTACTTTTCCACCTTCCAGTGCCACATGTAGGTGCTTTAACTAAAACCTTTAAAAGTGTAGTAAGCACAATGAGCTACATAGCACAAATTTCCTTTTTCTATTTTAATTACATTATTTTTCCTGAAAGCTTACAGGTTGGCAAAAATCCAGGTCAGCCATTGCTTTAGAAAAATGAGGACTTACAAAGAACCTTGGGTGGTTCATCTACCCACATCTGGGACAAACCCTACTTCAGGTAACCACTCAGAATGTGTGAACCGGCGAGGACCGCTACTCTGCTGCCACCCAGTGGCAAATGGATGCCATAGCACCTGGCACAGGAACAGGAGCTCAAAGGAAGAAGCAGGCTCTGCAAAGGACATTTTCTTGTTGTCCCCACCTGCCACATGCTCAGGAATTACACTGAAACATGTATTCTTGGAAAGAGAGGTATTAAAATGAATACTTCAATGAAGTGTTTCTTCGATCTCATATTTAAGACTAATCCAAGGACTAAACTGAAATCAAGACATGTTACTGATACCCAGGAAACTGACCCAGGCCCTGACTTAAGACTTACCTGCTTTGGATCAGAGGTAGCAGTGCCAGGAGCTGGGGATTCCAGTTCTATGGTCACAGGCCCATCATTCTGAATGTGCACCTGCATGTAGGCACCAAACTTGCCATCTGAAAGAACAATTCAAAGTTATAAGAATTGGAAACCCCAGGCTACCCTGTCTAAAAAGCACACATACATCAATAGAATCAGAAGACTGGGGAGGAGGACTGGTCAGTCAACACCGGACAAGGTGGCTGACCCTACAAGGAGTGAGAGACAGGCAAGAGTAAACAGTACAAATACTACGGTCTGCCCAAGACACCTGGCAAGAAAGAAAGGCCTGTAACATCAAGGTGGGAAAAAACATGAACAGGATGTACCATACATGGTGGAAACATAAGCTTACATACACACTTTGTTTGGCCATTTTAGCACTGTACCCAGTAAAGTACCTTAACCTCTGTCCATGGAGAGGCTCTACTCTCTGGTCTGCTAGGCTTTGGCTGGCCTCATGCCCTGGGGCAATTCAGACACCAGACCCCCTCCCTACCGCAACCTGAGTGACCTCCATGAATCTGCTCCTACTACCACAACCCCACAATTTCCACCTCTGATTCGTCCCACCCAGTTCCTCCCAACAGTGATTCCTAATTTCAAAGGACTTAGCAAAAACATACACACCAACTGTTGGCTTTCTTCAGTCCACACAGTAAGTAGCATTGAAAATTATAATAGCAGCACCCAAGCTGTTCACCATTTTTACAGGCAAGATCAATCTAGTTCCCATGGGAGAGTCAAATGTGCCCAAATAATGGTGACTTTTTGTGACCTATCTGATTAAAGTGGCCATTCAAGTCAACAAAGCTTTTGTTTTATCTATGTCACACTAGCTAAAATGACATCAGCTGGGAAGGAAATCATGTGTTTAACTGCAGTGCTAAAATTATGCTACAATTAGTAACAAATTTCAGCCGACACACTCCTCAGGGAGGCTGAAGGCAGACTCCGGAGGAAAGGAATTATTTCCGACCTTGAATTTCTGTTGCCAGGATATACAGCACATGCTTCACCATGTTTATCATTCCAAGTAGGAAGAAATTTATTTTCTTTCCTGCTTTTCTTCAGTTAAGAACAGAACTATTATCTGAATTTCCATTTGTACACACAATAAATCCAAAGACATGTTTTAAGAGGTCTTAAAATGGTAACATTTTTTCCAGTCCAGATCAAAGGATGAAGTCCCCAAGAAAAATTACACTGGCCAGGGAAAATAAATCTATTTTTTTAAATAAAAGACAAAAACATATCTATAAAACTACAGCTGGACTACTATGGTGATATCATCAAATTGTTCTTAAATGTAAGTCTCAGGGTTCCATCTAAAGCTTCAGGATAAGCACATGTCAAACACATTTATGCCACATGTTTCAGGCAGAAAACCTCCCAGTTGGGACCCAACAGCCATGATCTCTGGCAGCAGCTGTCCGAGGCTCCTCACCAGCCAGAATCTAAGCACCACGCTGCTGGATTCATGGTTACCTGAAAAGGCTGGTAGGGTTCATACCCCTCCAGACAATGCTCAACTGACTTTCACCATGTGTTAAGGAGGTCCTACCACCTCTCCATGCCCACAATTTGTTCTGGGACAACAAAAGGACAGTTACAAGGGTGTGTAAGCAGGAAGTCTTAGTCACTATGACTATGCACACCTACCACTGGTCGTGGCAATAAATGGACAAACTGGGGAGGAAGGGGGCAAAGAAAACTACTGAAGAAAAATGGGGAGAACAGAAGGCATGCACCTTATTTGTCCGCCTCGTTGAAAGCAAACCCATTTTCTCTGCTCTCTAGAGCACAGCTATGACCTGCTGAGGCTCAGCCTTCCTCTAGGAACTGGGAGGGAATATTGATACTGGACATAAGCCTTGGGCTAGCACATCTCCCAAAGGCAGCTCTACAACTCCAAAGAGGCTTCTCACCACTAAGGATTTATCTCTGTTCTATTTATCTTTCCAGAGCCTAAGCAGAGAAAAAGGGGTCACTGCTGGAAACCCCAAAATCAAATGCATAGGTGGGGACATGAAGAAATCAGCAAAAGGAATAGCCAGCAAGGGGTAGGGAGCACTTGAAGTCAGCCCGTAGCCAAGAGAGGGCCACTGCTCAGCTACAGAAGTTTGACCTACACCTACAGGACTTCATCACTCCAAGAGCCATGGGAGTAGTCCTGGCAGACTGCTGGCATCTGAGGCAGCTCTGTCCTCAAGTGCAACAGTGTTCCTCAGCATCCTTGCCTCCCCAGAGGATGTGGCCAATGCCAGTACATCACACTGGGACAGATTCCAACACAGCAAAAGAGGCCTGGCTCCAGGGCCTAGAAGGGACAGGCAAGCTCTCCAGGAGCCTTCAGCAGAGACCAGAGGTTCCAGCAAAGAAACTTCCTCAATCTTGGCTGGGAAGATATCTGCTCATCAGCAAATGGAGACATTACAGAGCCTTTAGGTGCTGGCCAGCTGTTTCTCAGAGTGTGAGGGCCAAGCCAAGGTGAACAGCACAAGAACCACAGTCCAACTCTATTCCAAACTTGAGGCCATAGAGGCATCTGGAAGGACAAACCCTGGAATCTTTTCCTGAGCCTCCAGGCTCCTCTTTTCAGGTTTTTCTGCTTGGTTCCAGAGATTCAAACCATTTTAGGGATATACCATCTCTGGGCAGCAGTTATCTCAGGCCCAGAGCTTCACAAGGCATTGGGGTGCAAAACCAAACATTCCTAATCACAGGGTTAAAAACAGGAGGTTTTGTGGGAACAAACATTTGAATGGCAAGCCCCTAGGACTAAAATTCACCCCATCTTGGAGGTTAAATTCCTACCTTAGCTTAGTTTCTGGGGTCATGGACTCAAGGCTATCAAGGCAGCCCTTCTTGCACAACAGAGAAATTCAAAGCAAGGTTTTCTCTGATCATCAGGCCTGGCTCAGATATCTCTGGGCTCTGCCGGGATCCTTGGCAACATTCTGCCCAGGTTAACTTGGTAGGAGGCAGAAGACTAATGGACTATACAATCTAATGGATTATATAGAGGAACCTGTGCAGGCATATTGCAATGTCTGAGGCCCCAAAAGACCTACAAGGACACCTGTGTGACACAGCTTGGACACAGCTGCTGAATGAACCCAGTCTTGACCAGGAATGGACACCCCTCCACTGAGGGGAAACCAGGAAGGAGGCTCCTGAGTTCATCAGGCTAAGAGATTTGATTTCTTTGTACTTGAAAGTTTTTAGACTTGAATATGTTACAGAATTTAATCTTGGCATATAATTTCTCCTTGGGACTATGATAACAGGAGAGGGTCTATATTTAGATTCAGTGCATGCCCATATTGCTGGCACTTCTTATATGTCTTATGATTGCACTAAATTAAGATTGTCATTTAATCTAGCTACAGAACCTCTGCTGGACTGGGATGGGTTGGGCTGTGCAGGGTGGCTGGAGTCAGTGTGAGAAACAACCTAGAGATAAGTCTTCACCCTGGAAGCAGAGTGACCTTGGAGGGCCTTCACAGCAGGGTTCTGACCCAGATCACAGCATTTGGAGACAAAAGATAAACAGCAGGAGCAGCCTCAGTGAGGTTCAAAGGTGGACATGAAGAAGTGAGCATGTGACCCTCCTTAAGTAGGAAGTCCCCACAGTTCTGAGCAAGCCTCTGCTCAGAACTACTCTTCATCTTCCTGTATCCCTGCGGGGGAAGAGCCACAGTCCTTAAAAAGGCATACACCTCTCCTCCCCACCCTCTGTACACACGTGTACACATACACACACACACACACACACACACACACACACACACAGTTGTTCTTGTAATCACTGTTGAGAAGTAAGACAGAATGATCCTTAAAAGCTTTCCCAACTTAAAAAGACTGCTATTACTGTAGTATAAACAACTATGGGGAATAGTTCACTCAGGTTCTATGGTTGGTATGGCCTGAAGGGAGATCCAGCTGGAGGCAGGAGACCCAGCAAGAAGATGTCACAATCATTCACATGACAGTGATAGCTTGGTCCAGGGTGGCTGCAGCAGAAAAGGTGATGGCCCCAGATTCTGTGTACGTGTCAAAGGGGAAGCTGAGAGAATTTGCCAGGGCACCAGATGAGGGAAAGTGGACCCATGTAAGACTCTAACATTATGGACATTAGTTCATTTATTAGAAAATAATACAAGACTAAAACACTAAAGAAATAAGGAACCAGGAAAAACATGAGATAAGCTATACAACAAAAAGTGAAGAAAACGAAATGAAAAGATGAAAGGAAAGAGAATGGGAAGGAAACAGGAAAGGAAGAAAAAAAAAGGCTATCTCTATATTCCTCAATAATAAAAATAAAATCTATGAAAGTATCTCCAATATATTTGGAAATCCAAATGGGGATGAGACTATGGGTAACATCTGCTGCTCAAATGGACTCTCGAGGTGCTGAGAAACTGACCAGAATCATAGCCTAGGAAGTCCAGCCCTCAGAGTTTTAATAACATGAATATTAAAAGAACAAAAAGCATAGGCCAATTTCTCTCTTGGATACAGATGAAAAAATTTTACATAAACACTTGGGAAATCTCTTGTAGGCACCTGCAGTAGCTAGTGAAGGTTTAATTAGTATGGCTCATGATTAGGAAATACCTGCAGTAAGCTAACACTTTGAGAAAATATTGGAAAAAATCAACTTCCCTTCCTGTTTAAAAATTAAACTCAGCTGAGTGCCAGTGACTCACACCTGTAATCCTAGTTACTTGGGAGGCTGAGATCACAAGGATCACAGCTCAAGGTCAGCCTGTGCAAATAGTTCATGAGACCCCCATCTCCAAAATAACAAGGGCAAAATGGACTGGAGGTGTGACTCAAGCAGTAGAGCACCTGCTTTGCAAGTGTGGAGCTCTGAGTTCAAATCTCAGCCCCACAAGGAAAAAAGAAAGGAAACTCTCTTGGCAAGGAAGGAAACCCACTTCTTTAACTTTCAAAAGAGCATGTAGTGACCTCTTTTTCCTGAAGGGACTCTGAAAAATCTTCCTCACCTCGCAAGCAGAAAAGCAGTACAGGTTAAGAATATGGGCTGATTAAGCA